GATTTTGTAATAGTCACTTTGTAGTATAATTTGAAGTCAGGAGTGGTGATACTCTCAATACTATCCTTTTGTGACCTTGGTTGTTATGCTTCTGTATGAATTTTAAGACTGTCTTTTCTCTTTCTCTGAAGAATGGCACTGGAATTTTAATTGGAACTTTTTAAAAGACAAATCTAATGTAGCATAGGCTACATACTGATTATGAAGTTTGTTGAACCTGAACTCCTGGTCCTTCTGCTTTAATGTTCCAAGTTATGGGGATCACAAGCATGTATCACCATGCCACAGGGGCTTATGATCTTTTAGTCACAGTGAAATGTAAGGCATATGAAAATCTGCAACTAACTTGAAATATATATATATATATATAATGCCATTATTTAAATTTAACTGGGTGTTATATGCCTGTAATCAATGCAAGAGTGAGGATAATGTAGGAACAGTGAAATTTCTGGGTAATGCTTGGCTATATAGCAAGTTCAAGACTAGCCTGGGCTACATAGTAAGCTCTTATGACAAAAAACCTGAAAAACTGAAGTGTTATGGGAACTTGGAATAAGGTTTATTAATAAAAATAGATTTAATGTGGTATTGCTTGGTCAGATGAAAAAACTGAATTAGATTATTTTGTCCTCTAATAACAAGTTTCTGGAAAAGAAGGTAGTAAATAAGGAAAAGTTTGAGGCTTATCTTCAGATCCTATTTATTGATGAAAACTGACGAGAAATGCATATGCTAGGACCTAGGTTACTATGTTTCTGAAATATTCTTTTGAGTTTAAATACCTTAATCACTAAGGACAAATATGTACATGGCAATAACTCAGTGGGAAGTAGCAACACATTTTAAAAGTAGAAATCAGGCTGATTAAATTTGTAGGAGCTCATTAAGAAGGTAAATGAAGATGTGGCCAATGGAAAATCAATGGATATAATTTATTTGGATTTTAGGAAGGATTTTTTTCCACAGTCACATACCAAAGATTGCTTAAAAATAGAAATGAGTTAATGAAGAAGTTGTGCAACCAGGAAATAGCTCAAATTAAGGAGCGTGCTCTAAATCAAAAGTGTATATAAACTCAGGATTGGAAAATAAGGTATAAACAATGAGCACTTCTGAAATTTGTGTTGATACAAAGGATTACCATCTATTGAGGTCCCATTATGCATTAGGAACCTTAGTAGGTAATATTATTAAATACTTCTTAAAACATTTCAATGAAAGTATCCATTAAAGTCAAAGAGTTCTAATGTTTATAATGAAAAAAGGTATATGCAAAACTAAAAATTATTTTAGGTTTTCCTTTAAAATGGACAGATTTTAAATTTTATTTTATAGTAAGTATGCTTTGATGATCCTACTACAAATTGTCACCAACGCGGCCAACTAAAATCAACTTAAAACCTGAGAGAGGTTGGGAAGGAATTCTAGGCACAAAAACAAACAATACAAACAGAGTCAAGCATGGCTTAATGCTGTGGCTCCTTTAAGGGAGGTTTTCCTGATTCAGCAGTAGCAGAAAAAAATGCCGTGCTGTTTTAAAATGTGCTTTCTGGACCATGCTGCCAGCACAAGCTCTGGTTCTTTCAGGAGGTCGAGCATTTAAATGGGGTTTGTGAACAGAGTGCTACAATTTGCTTAATGGCAACATAGATGCTCTGTATGCGTGAAAATGGGGGAATATAAATGGCTCTCAGAGACATTGAACATGTCTCTGCCATGTTGGACTGCATGGAGCAAGTAGGCAGGACTGCAGAGTTGCTCTTAGCCACATCCACTTAGCATAAAAAAGTGCTTCTGGACAGAAAATAATTGCAGATATGCAATAAAGACAGATTCAGATAAAAAAGACCTCTAAGTGAGTCACAGTGTTGGATAAATATACATAGGCTTGGGAGAGAGAAACAAAAGAGTAAGGGGACAGTAAATATAATATAAGAAAGTACAGACAGTCATAGATTAAAGGAGCAAAGATAATAAAATGAATATTAAACTTGTAAAAAAGTAATAGGATAAGAAAAATTAGCCATGTAAAGATGGAATATACACGGAGAGTCTGGATTATGTACATTATTGTGTTTTCTTTGAATTTTTTGACTATGAAGGAGCTAAGTACAGAGAGATATCTCATTGTATGGGTTGGTAAGCTGAACCAACATATATATATATATTCTAAAGGTATCTTGATTTTGAAATTTGGGTCTAAGGATATGTTGCTTTGGAAAAGAGGTTCTTCTTTTGTTTCCACAAAGAATGAGAACTTGTAGAATCCTTCCAGACTAATGCAGTTTGATGGACCAAGACCACTAGAGAGGTATCCCTGAAAACCCCCCAAGAGAATATACCTTGACCAATAAAAAGCAGGAAGCAGTTTGGAGAGAACTACACCCAAATTCCCTAAATTATTGTTTATAAATATTTGTTTACATTTAAAGGGGTATATGCTATAGAGATTTACATTTGTATGGCTCTTGGTTTATTGATACAAATTTAAGGTCAGTTTTGCTTTATATATTTTTCTGCTCTTGATTAAGGTATTGTGTTTGTGCAGCTCATTTAAAAATGTAATATATAATTAAGAATTATAGGTTAATAGATATTCATCTATAATAGTTAAGCTTATAGTCATGTTAGATTCCTTAGATGTACAGAGATATATGTCAGGTGGATAGGGCTTCTTCAAGCCTTTCAAAGACTACAGAATATGGCATTTAAAATGTTTAAGAACTTAGGACTTTTCATGGCAATGAGACACATCTGCTCCTGGCAGCACCAATTACTTCAAGAGGAAGATGGGCATCAAAGAGGCTCCTTATGGAGTTTGCTAGCTATTTCGGCATGAAACTGTTGTTGCCTGGACTGCTTGATGATATGCTGTATGAACTGGACATTCGGGACCCACAGAAAAAGGACTCCTGAACTTGCCTAAAGGTGAGACAGTCCTTTGGGGTTCCTGCTTCATGAAAGAGTCTGCCAGACATTCTGCAGGACACAGAAGAAAGTGACAAACTGCCAATATAGGTGGAACTGTCTTTGAAATTTCCTGCTTCATGGAAAAGTCCGTTGGATACTATGGGCCTGTAGGCCGAAGATGGATGCTCCAACAATACAGAAAACCTTTAGGTGACTGTCCAGACAGTGAGATGTCTCTGTCAATTCTAGTGTTTTGGAAGTTGCTTACAAAGCACTTCTTGTTAACTTAGATAATATTATATCCTTCTGGAGTCTTTGATGGAGTTGAAGAATATATGGTTATAGTTATAGTTTTCTTTAGTTATGATAAAATATAAAGTAGATATAAATATTGTAATTGTAATTATTTTTTTGACACCTGTTTTGTTATATGTAATTTTTCTATGTTAAAGTTAAAACCTTCCGTTTTATTTAAGCAGAATAGGTGAGGTGATGTGGGATTCCCCTCTGTATATTGTGAATAGCATTGGTTAATAAAGAAACTGTCTTGGCCTGATAGGGTAGAATAGAGTTAGGTGGGGAAAACTAAACTTAATGCTGAGAGAAAGAAGATGGAACTTTACCCTGTAATCCACAGTCCGTGTCGATACACAGATTAATGGAGATAGGTTAATTTTTTAAACATGAAGCAAAGAAAACCAGCCTACAAACCACAATCCCAGAGAGCTTAGATAACAATGAGGACACTAAGATATATTTACATAGATCTAATCTACATGGGCAGTAGAAAAAGACAAGATCTCCTAAGTAAATTGGAAGCATGGGGACCTTGGGGGAGGGTGACAGCAGGGAGGGGAGAGGCAGGGGAGCAGAGAAAAAATGTAGAGCTCAATAAAAATCAATAAAAATATGAGTTAGCCAGAAAAATGCTTAAGCTATTGATCAATCAGTATTTCAAATAATGTGTTTTTTGTGTGATTATTTTAGGAATCTGGGCAGCAGGGAAACAAATAAGCGGCTCCTACAACAATGCTTTATTCAAAGAACAGCATCTTAAATCATGTATTGTACATGGAAATGGGTTTCCCTTTAATGCTAAGGTTGTATATTTGACCTATTTAATTCTTTCATCAGCCCAAGTATTGTGGTAGATACCTTTAATCCCAGCATGTGGGAAGCAGAGGTGGGAAATGTTTGTGAGTTTGAGACTAGTCTGGTACAGATAATAAGTTCCAGACTAACAAGACCTATATAATAAGTCCTTGCCTCAAAAAATACAATGTAAGTCAGTGAATAGATATGGGTTCATAAAACTTTTAAAAATGACCTTTTGCGATGTCTCAGTGGTTACGAGTGCATACTGCTCTTACAGATGACTAAGTTCAGTTCTTAGCATCTATGTCAGGTAGCTGTTGACTGTCTGTAACACCAAACCAGGGAATCTGATGTCCTCTGGTTTTCAAGGACACTTGCATTCGTGTGCACATACTCACATACAAAAACACATAAATAAAAATAAATCTTTAAATAATAAAATAAAAATGATCATTTTTCTTACTCATGCTTGATGTTTTATAGAAACTGGAGTTTGGACCCAGGGAAGGAATCAGCATATGTGCCTTCAAAGTCTGTACTTAGCATGCATCACTAGTGGGACCAAATATTTGACTAACTAGAAAAGAATTTGAAGGTAGTCTTGTTCAACATGTTCATTTCTTCTGTGAGAAAACAATCTAGGGATAAGTAATGGGAAAAAAAGCAATAGAAATGATCAAGATACAAATTAAAAGTGGGATCATATTTATGCCTTCATTTTACAGTCTTCTCTTCTCTACCTTACTCTAGAAAGATTACATATATATCTTTTTTGTTTCCATACCTGTTTATTGGTGTGTGTGTGTGTGTGTGTGTGTGTGTGTGTGTGTGCATGTTTGTGTGTGTGTGTGTCTGTCTGTCTGTGTGTCTGTGTGCATTTGGCCTGCATTGCCAAGTGCACAAGCAGAGGTGGGAGAATTTGCAGGAATCAGTTCTGTCCCTTCCACCATGCGAGTTCTGGGGATTGAACTCGGGTCTTCACGTGGGGCAGTGAGCACCGCTCCCGGCTGAGCCTTCTTGCTGGCCTGGGCCGGGCAGCTTCCGGTGAGATGCTCCATCCTCATGCTACAGCTTCTTGTTCTTGCTTAGCCGGTTGTGACACCAGATGTTCTGTTTACGCAGCAGTCGCCAGTACTCACGGGACTCGGGTTCCAGCTCCTCCAGCTTTCTGGGGGGACCCAAGTTCATCTGGAATAGCCACTCGGGGTACTCGGAGTCTGGCTTCAGGGCCACGTCCTGGCCTTCCTTGTAGATGTTCACCCCCATGGCGTGTGTGGTCAGCCGGGCGGGATCTGTGCACACCTCAGTGTCCTTCAGGGCCTCAGTGGCCACGCTGCCCTTGGCACCTTTGTTGCCCTTCATGACTGGCTTCTTGGCGTAGTCCCAGACGGAGAGCGTTCCAGGTCCTCCATGGACCGGGAGAGCCCGGAGCCGACAACTGGCCCACATCTGAGAAGCCCCGAGGAGATGGGTGGCCTCCATAATGCTGGCCAGCTTGCACGTGCATGCTTCCCCACATATATCTTTATATGTATTTGATTATATGCAGCAACCTAGTTGTCTGTACATACTTGTCATTTATTATTACTGATTAGCTGAAGGACTGTCCTAGTAGATCATAGTAGTTCTCACAGGATGAACACTATGTCTATTTTGCTCATTACCCAGCAGAATGGTTAGCTAACACTAGGCACTCACTAAACCATTTTTTTTAACACAGACATACAATTGTTGTAATGTTGTTTTAGATAAACCACACCACACAATCATAACATTTTAAACCAAAAACACTAAAAAAACCCTAATTAAACAGAAGAAAATATTAAATTTTCTTAAAAGTAAATATGATATCACATTAAGGAGGAGAATAATTTGAATTTATTAAAGTCTCTCTCACTTTCTACTTTTAACAAGGAAATAACCAAGAACACTATAATCCATTCTATGAAGACTTTGCTAAGGTATCATTCAGAAATGTCACTGAAAAAGAAGACAAGAGACCCTTTGCCTCTTACGAATTGCAGCTCACTGCTGCAAAACAATAAGAACCTAAAACTATTAATAGGAAGTTGGAAAATGTTTAGCAAACATTTAGGCATAATTTAGGTTATTATATTCTTTCATATACGCATGCGTGGTGCATATACACACATGTGCACACATGCACACACCTGTGTAAGACCATCACAGATACCCTGCCAAAAACTAAAGTTAAAATCTGTGGGTAATGCTTGTTCACAACCCAAACACTTTTAGAAAAAAACAGATAATAACTTTGGAATTGTCTAGCACATAATAGGAGCTCATTGACTGTTGAATTTTTCACCCAAAAGAGGTAAACAACAATATAAACATGTGTGCTAAAGAAAATATACTTTACCTAAGCATTCTGAGCATATTATTGTCATCATACTTCGAAATTATTTAGCCTAGATATGAAAATGGGAAAGAAAACTGAAGAAATTCATGCATATTTATAGACAAAAGATAAATCCACAGTAGTTTAATACAAAAGTCTAGACTTCTTTCGGATAACACCCTAAATTACAAAACAGTACTTGATACTTCTACAAAACAGGTATTCCACTGGCTAGATATGGAAATGGGGCATATGCTACTTCTACAAAGGAAATACTGACTTTTAAAAAATGTAATTGCGATGTTTATTTTCCAAATACCCATATACAAAATAAAATAGTAAGTTTATTTGTAGTTTATTCACATGGCACAAATAATGTTCTGTAAAGAGACATAAAAAGACAAACTCTAATTATCACAAGTCAATCAATACCTTAATAAACCCTTTTTAATAGACATTTGGAAAGAAAAGAAGATAAGAGGTGGGACAGTTAACATGGAGTAAAGCTGTAAATGTAGCGTGTATATGGGAGCTGAGGATATAACTTAGTGGTAGAACATTTGTCTGATAAGTGCAAGACCAAAGCTATTATACTTCTACACAAATAAGTAAATGATGTGGGAAGGTCATATGTCTATCTGTTGCTTTCAGTGGTTAATTAATAAAGAAACTGCTTGGCCTGATAGGTCAGAACATAGGTGGGTGGAGTAGACAGAACAGAATGCTGGGAAGAAGGGAAGTGAGGGCAGATGCAATGGAGCCAGCCACAGAGTCAGACATGCTGAATCTCTCCTGGTAAGCCACCACCTCGTGGTGCTACACAGATTATTAGAAATGGGTTAGTCAGGATATGAGAATTAGCCATTAAGAGGCTGGAACTAATGGGCCACGCAGTGTTTAAAAGAATACAACTTGTGTGTTGTTATTTCCGGGGCTAAGCTAGCCTTGCAGGAGCTGGGAGGAACGAAAAGGAGGCCTGCCCGTAGCTCCTTCTACAAGTAAATATCACCATTTGGTTGGGCTTGAACGGAGTATCTGAGATGTGACTTTTATAATCACTAAATTTTCTTCTTTTGAAAAGTATGTTAGAAATATCTATTGTCAAAACTGCCTGTATAGACAGTATTGTGGCATCTCATAGTTGGAAGGGTCTTTAGAATTCAGTTCTCTAAACTTTTTTCCTAGTGAGTTACATTAATAATCAGTTTGAGAGTTGCTCATCTAATTTTAGTTTAAATTCATCTATTGAAAATGAGGGCACTCATTATCTTATCAGAAATACTACCACAATATTAAATATTAAACGTATTAGAAAATTTGTCATATACTAAACTAAAAATCTTCCTTTCTATGCTTTCTCCACTTGCTCTCCATTATTGTTTCATTCTATTTTTTCTATATAGACAAGGTATGCAAATATAGTTATATGGCCTTCTATGATCTAAGTATTTGGTATATATATCTTCAAAACTTTTCTTCAAGTTATTAATAGGAATTTTGAACAGCATAAAGCTCTAAAGTAAACTACTGGAAAACTTTCTCTAGGTTACAGCAAATATACCAAGTTCAACAAACTCTAATTCACCACTCTCCCACAAAAGAAACTGATGTCAGAACTCTCTTATATACTCTTTTGAACAAGGACAACACAAGATAAGGGTGAACTACTGTACGTATAAGATCTCTATTTCTTTTCTCTCCCCATCTCCCCTTTTCCCTTCCCACCCCACCCCCAAGATCCCATTTTTGCCCGGCAATCTTGTCTACTTCCCATAATCAGGAGGATAGCTATATGTTTTTCTTTGGGATCACCTTCTTATTTAGCTTCTTTAGGAGATCAAATTATAGATTCACTGACCTTTATTTATCTCTAGAAACCAATTATGAGTGAGTACATCCCATGTTCATCTTTTTGGGTCTGG